GACTGTATATGACCATGGCTGAGAACCGATGTGAGAGGCGCAGATGTATACACACATTATCCTCATCTTAATGACGCTATACCGAATTTCACCACTTTCTCATTCTTCTTTTCTCTCTTGTAGTACTTTATATTTCTTTCGAGTGAATTTTCTTTTTTTCATCTTCCACTTCACTGGCTTTTTAGTGGATGTGGTGATATGATATCACAACAGTCCTGTTTGTTTTTCCCTTGTTTGGAGCTTGTTTTAAATTTTTATAGGAAAGGAAACATTTTTAACTAGCATCATAAAACAAAATCGTAATCGTGATTAAAGTTCAATGTACCGGTTACCACTGTGTGTCTGTCAGTATCCACTGATTCCCAACTGAATCTTGATCCTAATTTATGTTCATAAATGCGAATGCTAATTCATGAAAATGTGTTATTTAAACTCCTGACTCTTTCTCTCTTAGGTGTTCAGATTCTTTTTGCTAAGTTTAATTTTCATCTTAATTTGATTATTTTATTATTCAGACAAACATTTTCAGTAATGGAACAAAAACTAAGTCACTGATGCTTATCCTTTGTTTGTTTACATGTTAATTTACTTTTCTTTGCATAAATGTTTAGCCTGTAGTGTATTTAATAAAGTTTCTTATCTGCTCAACTTATCTCAAATTGAAAAACAACAAAATTACTCTTCATATTATCATCATGTTCTAATTAATTGTGATGATTAGTTACTTATCTAGTTAACTAGAGAATGAATGGTGGAGTGAGTGAGTGAGTTAGTTAGTTGATATGAATATAAAAGAGAATAATGTATTGTACTTTCTGCATTATAGTTATTCACAAGGCTAATCAATATGTTGAGTAGTAGTAGTAGTAAGGTCAAGTAATTTTTTTTCCACTTATAGAAAATGAATGTAGAATACAATATACAATTTCTTCTGTGTTATAAACTTTTGAAAAATACACGAATAAAGAGAATTTTCTTATTAAATTTTTGTTTGATGAATTGAAATTTACTCATTCAACTTGACTGAAATGATGATACTTATGTGTTTCATTATACATTGTGCTAATTGAGTAATGAATAAACAACACAGTGATTCATTGTATTGATGTGTCAAGTGTTTCAGGGAACATTCTGTCCTAATACAATAAGCTAGTATTCATGTAACTTGTTAGTTGGATGAAGGCAATCTACAGGAAGCTCTTGACTGTATTGTGTTCTCTGAGCTGGGTTGTTTAGTCGTGGAGCTTTCATCGTCTTTCTAGACAACATGTTCAGAACTAACTTCACCATGAAGTGAGCTGTCAATATTTCTGCGTGAGTGATTTAGTAGCTTGCCTTGACGAACTGGTTTATGATTGGTTGTTTCTTTGATCACTGTGTCGTTGACTGACTGCATAGATTTTCCTGTTGGCTGTTCCTCTGCTTCACCTCTGACCTCTCTGTCGTTTATCATCTTTCTTATTGGTTGATAGATTGGGTCTATATCTATACATCTGTTGATTACTGAATGACTGACCTGAATGCCAAGCTTCTAGGAATTCCCTGATATTCTTTGTGTTTCCCCTCTCCGTCCAAAATTTCTACATTGTCAAAATTGAATTCATATCCACGTCATTATTCACGTGTATTGAAATGAGTGATGAAATTTCATGGCGTTTAATAGCCAATTGATATTCATGTAGACGAAGGCGAAGACGGTGACCACTTTGTCTAATGTACTGTTGACTACAGTTATTGAGGTTGATTTTGTAAATGATATTCGGTTTATTTTCTTTGGTTGTTGAATCCCTTGGTCTGCATAATAGTGTTTGGAGGGGATTTGTTGGTTTATGAGATACACCAATTCCACCAAATGGTTTCAGTAATCTTGTCGTGGTTTCTGATATATTTTTTATGTATGGCAGGATGATGCGTTTATTGATTTCTGTCGATGAGTTTGTAGTTGATTATGCACGGGATAGGCATCTTGTGATAAAGTTTCGTGGGTAGCCGTCTTTCTTTAGGGTTGATATCAAGTAATTTTCTTCTTTTCTCCGTGAAATTGTTGTATTATAGTGTGTTCTCGCTCTTTTGATAGAGTTTGCATGCAACTAATTTTGTGTATTGTTGGGTTGTTGCTACTGTAGTTGAGGATTTGATCAGTGTGTGCTGGTTTCCTGTATACTTGGGTTTCCAGAATTCGTCCTACTGACTAAAATATCCAGGAATGGTAGTTGGTTGTTTGACTGCTTCTCCATTGTGAATTTGATGTTATTGAAAATGTTGTTGATCAAACTGTGAGCGTTTCCTACATCATCTTTTTTTAATGATGACAAAAGTGACGCTCACACAGCGAATCCAAATTTTTGGTTTGATCACAGGTAGAATGATGGTTTCTAGTCTCTGTATCACTGCTTCTGCGACTAGTCCGAATATCAGTGACCCCATCGGAGTTCCTTCCATCTGTTTGTATATCTTATCATTGAATTGTAAATATGTTACCCGATAACATCTGAGCTACAAATATTCTTCACCACAGGAAGCTCTGCCTGATCTAGGTCTCATACTTTTTGACACTCGTCAGCAAGACATGTCTCCAACCTCGACGGAACTGACATCCCACCTGAGATTCGAATACGCATCACCTAGTGCTGCTGTTGAAGTCAGTTACTCTCCGGTGACCAGTGAATGTACCTAATCCAGTCCTACAGGAAGTCAGTCGTGGCCCAAATAGCTCAGTGGTAACGTCTCTAACTGTATCACTGGTTGACGAGAGTTCAAACTTCAGACGAGACATTAATTCGTCGAGATTACAAATACACTTTGCTGACGGGTGCCAAAAGACGCGAAACCTTGGTCTAGAGCTTCTTGCCAATTGCCTCCATTCAACTAACACCTATCAAACTGGATCACAATGGTGACCCTTCTATCCTGGTGGTCATATTTCAAAAATGAAGTCGGTTACCCTCGAGTGACCAGTCAGTAAAACTAAAACTTATTGAATACTAGACAACCTAATCAACAGACTCCTGTTAGAAAGTAGGAGCGAACAAACTAAACCGACTAACTTCAACCTATGAAGAAGATTGTTCTGCAATCAACCAATTCCTTTCATACTTTTGAATGAAACAACAATACAATGCTCATCAGTAACTTAAGATTGGTCTGTTTGGAGTTTTAAGGAAGACGTCTGACGGATGTGGTAAGTCGAGTCTGAGGAAAGGAACTCTTGGATGGTGTTAAGTAATGATTACACTATATCACTAATTGACAGAAGTTAAAGAATTTAGGTAGTTGTATTCCTACTCATCGACTGAATTGAAACGTAAGAACTGGTGGTGATGAGGTCGAGTTTCGCCACTACCAAAAAGTTCCAAAATGGAAAGAAACATCTGTCCTTATTGTTATGATTTCTCATTAAAAACTTCTATTAAAGTAAGGAATTTATCATTATTATTACTATTTGTCCTTTGGGTTCCTAATGGAACATAGGGCTTCAGTAGCACGTCTCCAGTGCACTCTGTCCTCTGAAATCTTTTGAACCTGGCTCCACGCCAACCCACAAGCTCTCATTTCCTCCTCGCACGATCTCCTCCATGTCACCCTCGCCTCGGATGCCCAACTCATCGTTTCTCATGCGGGTTCCACTCGACAACCTGGCCTGTCGAGTGATGTCCCCAGTCGGCCTTCTCAGTGTATGCCCAATCCATCACCACTTCTGCATATTTGTTGAGCAATAGGTTCTTGCTTCGTTGGTTCGTTGCCCGGCCAGAGTTCCTTGTTGCTTATTCTTGTTATTCTGACCATCTGATCTTCAGTATCGAGCCAGCATATGCAGTTGTTGATGAATGTCTGTAGTTTGTTGGAAATCCATTTCGTAACGCGCCAAGTCTCTGAGCCATATACAACCACTGATTTGAGTTTGGTGATGAAGATCCGGATGTTGTAAAGAATTAGTTACCATTAAATAATCTGGTTTTTGCAAAAGAGGGATTAACAACTCTAAGTATTCAACGGTTATTTCTTTTTCAATTTGATCGTGAAATGATTCAATCTTGAATCTTATCACCAACATAATAGCCTTATTAATTACAGATGTCTTTCTGGTGAATTACAATGGAAATTATTTTTAAAAAAACATTGATGTGATGTGTTAACTATTCATTTTATTTAAACAGTCAATGTGTCAGTGTATGCTAATTATTCTGTCGCTGTAGAGATTTTTATTTCAATTAAGTTACCAAGTTCATAAAGTATCCAATGGAAATTTCCTTCTGTTTTAAAAATCTTGACGACAACAGTCAATCAGTATCTAGGAGGAGTATTGATTACACCTGCAGGCCCCTTTATAACATTTTCGTCTTCAATTGATTATTGATACAGTGTAAACAAAAAATCTACAGTAATTCCTGCTTATCATGTTGTTCTACACTTCTTTTCAAAATGATACGATAATATCAATATGGCTTTTTCGTTAAAATATCGGTAGGGCAATCATTTCAAATTACAATTGATGTTGGATAGTAGCTGGTAGTGGAATCAAGGACACACGCTTCGTCCAGTTTGGGAGTCGTCAGCTGGACGTACCTGCCTTCCAGTTAGTAATGTTATTCCTGCTTAGATACTATTGCGTTTGAAATGACTGGCCCTTGGTTGGAGTCTTAGTGGGAACAACATCGTCCAGTGGAGGGAAGGCACACCCAGCTGATGAGACACATATATAGGGCGAAATGTGCGTCCTGGATTCCACTAGTAGCCACTATCCATCATCACTGTCAAACTGAAACTACAGGCAATATCGAGACACGTATGCAGGAGCCCATATGCCAATAAAGACCTATCAATTCAGCTAAATCAACTACAGAAAACTGCAAACAATAACTTTATTATTATTATTATTATTATTATTATTATTATTATTGGTTTACGAACTGATGTATTTATTCAGATTAGAATAGGAATTATAGCCTATTTATTTTACATCTTGTCTTCATTGTCTCACTTTGTTAAATTGCTTTTAGAGAGCTGCTGAAGATGTGATCACTGCCACTGTTTACTTGGAACAATTTATCATTCATACTGTTGGCTCTTCACTACTACCTATATTACTTCGATTTCTCTTGATGAAATTACCATCACATACTGTTCTTGATTCGAACTCACCGATGACTCATCCAACAGTTGGGGATATTGATACTAGTAATAACCAAGGTTCTTCTACTGAATCTTCACCGATCAGTGAAATCTCTCAAGATAATATGAATCCATCAGAATTCTTCACTGAATCTTCTGATCATTGGACGAATGACAATATCTTGACTTCCGTCAATAGTTCAACTTCCAGTACCACTTACATGGATTTAATCATTGCTCGAATACATCAGTGTAACAGTTTAGTAAGTTGTGAATTTCTTATTCATACGTTTTGTGCAAATTTACCGTTACCTTGGTTTCCCCCGTATTTGTATATGCATGCGTACGTGTGCATATGATCCCACATAAGTGTATGTACGTTCATACTCATGTTTCAGTAATTAGAGTAGAAATATGTTTCCATGGTTATGTAAAGAATATTGATATATGTCACATACTTGTAGTTCTTCCTTTCAAGAAGTATTCAATAAAATCTTATCTGCTCTTATGATTATTATACCGCATATGGATGGTTCATAAATTTTAGCCAGTACTCTCAATATGTTGGGTGTATCATAACTCGTTTGCTTCACGCCCCCTGCAACAACGTAACCATAGGCTGGACGAAAACTTATCAACAACTGGCTGTTACATTTCGGTATCGGAGGTTGGGATCTGGCTTTTTCACTGTCAAAACGACAACCATTCAACCGCAGCCATCCCCTCGAATGTAACTCGAACCAGCTTTACGCACTGTCCCTAGCCTCTAACTTACCCAGGTACACTCAAGCACTGGAGTAGTATCTTTTTTACTAGGGAGAACAGTGTAGTGTGTTTGCTACACACCTCCTTGCAATAGCTTACCTACCTACAGACTATCAACATCTGGTCTTCACAGTATCTTCTCCCTAGAGCCTATGGGTTAATAATGGCATAATTAATTTTAATCGATGAATCCGTATAACTCATGCAATCCTCCAGAACCATAATTGTGTCTCTGTAAACATTTGAACATGATTTATACACTAGACTATAAGCAGCTGTATTTATTGTTTGAAATCTGGTAAACAGTACGGTCTCAGTTTTTAGATCTTATTCACTGCTTAACTGTTTCCTTCATGAGAATTGTTGTTGAGCTGTATTAAAAATCTTAAATAAACTGAAAATGTAGACGATAAAGCATATTGCCTTTTATGTGGAAAATGTATCAAGATTTGGATATATAGGCAGATTTAAGTCGCAACTGATAGACGAATCTGCAAGTACTTGGTGAATATAATAGTGCGTAAGGTCACTATGTACTTTGCCTACTGCTTCAAGCGCCAATACTTCTTGTGGCAGTTGCGTAATTCATGCCTTCATTTGTAGTGTTGTAGGTCAGTGATGCTGCTCTGCCTAGACAGGTCACTGTCTTCGCCTTACTTTTAAATGTAACAAAACTCCAAGAAAGGAAATGTATGCGCTACCTGTTTGTCTCTTGATGGCATGGATGAAATGGCATTGTATCCTGTATCCGTAACACAAATGTTATGAGATCAGCTTCTAGTAATCCAGCTAAAAGTTTGGCTGGTCGATCAGAAAATCTAAATAATGAAGCGGAACACACTGAAGAGATAATACTACTTGATAACCATCCTCCGGGATTTATTTAAAAATTTATAACGACTTATAAGCGAAGCGGCGATAATACTAATGGTAATTATAATATGCTTAACAGGGAGTTCAATTCCTTTGTAGTGTTATCATGTACAGAATGGACGTCAGATAGCCTATGTAGAATTCTTGATAATGATGAGATTAGGGTAAAATTTAAACCCAAAAACTCGCTCAGATAAAAACTTTATACTCTAAGAAATCCAGTAAATCCAACTGAGTGAAGTAATCTATTCTATATAACAGTATATAGTGGTTTTGTAGTATATCAAGGTCAGTAAAGATAGCGAAGCACAAGAATTTAGAGAAACCTAAAATGATAAACCCTACAAAAGTAAATGATGTGGAGAAAAACTCAGCTATCACTCTGCATGCACTGACCCATAATCACACTATAGGGTAACAATTCTGAAATCCAATATAGCTAGGCGCAGAGAGAGTTTGATTGCAGAATCTTTGGTCATTGAATCACCAGGAATAATTCATCACATGTTGCAGGTTTTTGGAAAGTTTTACTGGCATTAAAATGAAAGAATAAAGGAATCTTGAAGTATATGAGTAGAAATGTTATTACTTGTATTATCCCGTGGTTGAGTGGACCGAATTGATTAGTCTCTATTGGTATATGGGCTCTTGCGTGGATGCCACCATATTGCCTTTGTTTTGATTATATATTAATGATGGATAGTGGCTAGCAGTGGAATCTAGGAAGCGCGTTTCGTCCTACTTAGGACTCGTCAGCTGGATGTACTTGCCTTCCAGTGAGCGATGTTGTTCTCACTAAAACTCGAACTCGAGACCCAACGCTTCAAATGCCAAGGCGTTAACCACTAGAGCACCGAGCCACAACACCCACTTCTCGTATGACGGCCTAGTGGATAACGCTCTGGCATGTGAAGCGACCGGCCCCAAGTTCGAATCCCAGGGACAACAACATTGCTCACTGGTAGGCAAGTACATGCAGCTGACAAGTTTCAAATAACATGAAAAGTGTGTCCTGCATTCCACTGATAGCCACTATCCATCGTTACTATATAGGTTAGGTTTTAAAGTTGTATGCTGACTTTGATATGAATATGAGCAATAAATCGCGCTCGAGATATCATCCTGTAAATAATGCTGTATCATTCTGTACGATATCAAATAATCATTGTAATTTGGAATTCATTGCTTCATATTGTTTAAAGCTGTTAGCGTACTCTTCTTATGATGAATAATAAACTGAACTGGTTATCTATTTGTTATGAAAAAAACAAAACAGCAACCTTGAAATTAACATGAAAATTTCCCTACAAACACTATCAAATTGAAAAATAACTCGATTTAGACATACATTCAACTAGGATAACTCACTAAAGAGAAATAACGCAATTAAAGTGGAAATCTGAAATACACCACATAAAGTGGAATACTTGTTTAGAAGTTTATTTTGAACACTTTATCCATTTTAGTGTTATTGCTTGTATTACACCGTCGTTGATAGGACCGAATTGATCAGCCTCTGTTGACATATGGTGCGCATCCTGGATTCCACTGCTAGCCACTGCCCATCATTACTTTATCCATTGATAATATAAAAATAATCATTGATACAACAGTGATACAAAAAATTCCTACTAAAATAAATATTTGTTGTATAAAATGAATTTCAATTTGATTTCTATAGTCATCATTAAGAAATATCAACGATATTGCTGAAAACGTGTTGCAGGTTGACTGTAAGCTTCTTTTTGCCTATAGTCTATAGAGATTTCAGCGTATTGTATAAGTGTTATGAGATAGAGTTGTTGATTTCTCTCTAGTTGCGTCAAATTTAAAAGGAGTAAAGAGTATTTTATAGGTTGACTTGATAGTGGAATTCAGGACACGCGTTTCATTCAATTTGGAAGTCGTCAGCTGGATACACCTGTATCTCAGTGAATAATGATGTTCCCATTGGGATTCGAACCCAATGCCGACCGTTTCAAGAATATCTCTGATTGCATTGTTTTCCAATTTTTTTTTTAATGCATACAGATTAATAAGTTAGGTACACTAGCGTGAAATGGGAGACAAGTATCTATCAATCCTTGTCTATATTACTGAATATTCTATTAAGTATGTCGATACTAGTTTCATCCTTCGCATACTGTGTTGATTACTGATTTCGAAATCTGACCAGCTTCATCGGTAGACTAATCTTACATGATGCTTCATAGAATGAATGCATACCTTCTTTTGGCTTTACTTACCTCTGTTCTTGTGCAATACTTGCTATCATATATAACCTCACAAAAGTCATTTCAGGTAGTCATTTATCTAAAGATATTTCTTGTTCTATGTCTACCTTTTTCCAGACCTTTAGTGTCATAATAGAATTACTAAATAACTCGATACTGAAATTTTCTAGTCATTTGAATAGCTTAAGGCAAGAGAATTGATAAATGTGTCACTGATACCCAATGACTATTGTGTACATCATATTGTTTGAAATACTCGAAAATAAATAGGGGAAAAGAAAGGGATGATTAACCTCAGCTTTCTATTAAATATCTTTATTTTGGTGTATGTTCCGGTATTCCGTTGTTTTTTTATTTTATTTTCCATAGTACGGATACCTGGAAAGAGATAAGCCGTAGTATGCTAGATTCTTTACTGTTCCAATAAGTTCAATATCTACGAAGATCATGATATACTTACTAAATGTGCTTTTTTCATGTTACACTTCAATCGTACTTCAGCAGTCTACTCATTGCTTCTTATTTATCTCTTAGGTATTCACTTTCTTCCTAATGAAGTCAATCTTTACCTCACTTATGTGTATACGTTGAATCTCCAAACATTTCCCTTACATTCTGTAGTTTTTGAGCGTCAAATAATGTAAGTTTGGGCTTTACCTGGTAAACTGCTCTTCATTGATCAGTTTATGTGCTTTTGTATCATCAGTGGTAATACATTGGGCTTCTTTGGTAAAGATTGTATTTCATGGCATATGAAGGCGATTTTGTTGCAGAAAGCCAATATATACACATGGTTATACTTCGATCTCCTGCTGTTATTCTGAGGGTATTTTTATAAAAGTTTATTTACCATGGCTTACATCTTTTCATGGTCATTGGTGAATTTGCAAAATTCACTTTACAAGTGTTCGGAGATTCAATCGTTAACCCTTATAGACTAACTGGTACAAGCATTGGACTAAGTTATAAAATGGATAGCATAATCGTCGATTGTATACCAGTCAATAATCGTCTGTGTGAACTTTCCAACTGAATGGATCTGTAAGAAATATAAAGGATCGTGACATTCGCTGACAACTATTCGTAATCTCCGCTTACCCATCTACCGTTTATAGTTTGAATGATCCATGGAATGAATTCTAACAACAGTCATCGGTGTTGCTACACAAAGCAAAACGTTCAGATACAGGATTCAATCCTAATTCAGCAGTCTACTTAACGCTTCTTATTTATCTATCAGGTATTCACCTCCATTTCTGTTTATATTCCTTTCATCCATATGTGATTCGTAAACGTTTTAACCTTAGTTTATGATTGACTATTTTTATCGTCTTCATGCTGATCTACGATGAAGGGGGGGGGGGTTGACACTTTCCATTCAGATCGTTCAT